TGTTTCAAGTGGTAAGTAAAATTCTAAAGTAAAGATAATTGGTTTGAATTTTAAAATTGATTGAAATGATTCATAAAATGAATCGTCTTTTTATTTTATTTTTAATTGACAAGATGATATTTTAGAACCAATCTTTTTTTTTTTTTTTGACACTGAGAAAATTGAGAAAAAGGAATAGTTTTTGAATTTAAACTCAAGACTTAAATGTCCAAACATTGTTTCTCATGAGAATGATTAATAGGTTATTTGGTGGCAGACTAAAACTAATTTTTACTTACATAAATAAAAAAGGGATGGTGGAAAAGGAAAATATATACAATAAAAATGGATTAATTTTTCATATAGATATTTTTAGTTTATTTTCACAAACAGAAAATTGTAACATTATTTTTGGGCAAATCCCTCTCTAAGAGGCAAGGGGGCAGACCATATATAATCGAAAGTTGGAAAAGTGTTTCTTGACGAAATCAGAGTAGAGATTCATTCAGCATTCAGGTTCAGGGAAAGGATGGGTGGTTCAATGCCGGCTTTGATATTTGTGCGTTTGTTTTTTTTTTACCGGGTAAATGGTTAGGAAGTTAGTAGAGTTTGTTTATTAGTAGCTGAAATTTTTTCAGAAAAGTGAACTTTTCACCCCCTCATTTGAGGCGCGCGACCATTAAGTCGCAAGTTGGTGGAGTTCACGGTGGTGGCAGAGCTCAAAACCCTGACCTCCGCCTCACCCAAGCCCTAAAACTTGGGGATCAATCAATTAGGCCACAGGCCCGGTTGGCAATATTTGTGCGTTTGTTGGTTATTTTATCAGAAGTATTATTAATGTGACATAATTTGGACGTACTTGTCTTAAACTCGACTGCTCTCCTCTTGACCGGACATTTAGTGACTGAAAATGACATACAACGTAGTATTATTCATAATTTTTCTATTCTAGTATCAACTTGCGCTTCAAAGTTGGAATGGTGGTTATACTTAAGTAATTTGGTGGGATGTGAAATACAAATTTTTTTTCTTTTTCTTTTTCATGGTGGTAGCCAAAAAGTTTTCGATCATTCATATTTAGATTAAAAAAAAAATTTATATCAATCACATATTGATTTGAACAAAAAGAATTTGATTTTTTTAAAATAAAATTTTAAATTTAAATATTATAAATAAAAAATAAATTTTAATATAATTTTTTTTAATAAAATTTGACGTAATTTGACTCCATATTAGTTATGATCTAATATAACGTCTAAATATCAAAAGTTAGCAAGGAAAAAAAATTTGTTTTTATAAAAAAACATAGGTCATGGTGCAATTCAATCAAATTATTAGCAAATAAAATTTTTGAATTTAATGATTCATTTTGCTTGAAAATTTTAGGTATTAAAAACTAATTAAAACTGTGATATGTTTGTTATTATATGATTAATTAATGGATTGGCTCCGTGGTCTCCAAATTTAGGATGCATTTG